GAACAGCTTACACAAATGTGAACCGAGAGCTGGTTAACTCTTATTAGAAAATGTATGAACTATGTGAAAAGAAGCGCACCAGAGCAACAAAAATTCGTACGGCGTTAGATAGTTTATGGTTACTTCGTGTCCAGCTGGACCTCACTGATATGCAAAGCTGTCCGAACATAAATTATCGCTTCATCTTTGTGTACTAGGATCAATTAGCAAAATTCTGCCAATTCTGCCAACTTGGTACATTAAAAAGATGGATGAAGAAAATGGAGTAAAGCTTACAGATCTCACATTAAAAATACAGATACCGGATTCAAACGGCGAAAATGTGCAATGTAAGGAAAGAAAAATCTATTTCTTACTTTATACCAGCATCTCTACTGCACTGCCTCCTTGCTTCTAGACGTGACACGGTCCTGTGTTCTGTGCACTGCAGGCGTTTAAATGCCATGGAGCAATGGCCTGCTTAAATGCTCCCCTAGGCGTCTAGAAACACAACAGGGCGGTGCAATAAAGCTGCTGGTGTAAAGTGAGAAATAGATTTTTTTCTTTACACTGCGTATTTTCGCTGTTTCAATCCGGTATCAATATTTTTTATGATATCTTTAGCGACGGCATCGAAACCGTCTACAAAAACATCGGGGTTATTTTGCTTATAGATCTACTCTTTACTTTTAGAACAGCACACATTCGGCACAAACTTTATCTCGACAACAGCATTCTTCAATAAACGAAACTGAAGATAGTTAATCAACCAAAGAACTTAGCCAAGAGTGTAGACATCGCGCCCACTGGAATAACTGAGCTATATGTAAACGTGTTTTCTATTACTTTCAGCATTGGTACAGCAACATCATGAAATTGGACGCCCCTCAGATCTTCCCAGTTGTTCATTCTGTGAGGAAGCGAATAAAAAATTCTACTGTTGCAGCCAGATGAAAAAGAAATTGCACGCAAGACGCGGTGGCTGCGTTAAGGGCGACGAGGGCGCAATTTTTGTGCTCTATGCATGAAAGCACGGCATTTGCTTCAACATCAGGAAAACGCCAAAGCAAATTTTTGAAGGCAGGCAGAGAAGATGGTTTCTGCATCAAGCAGCTGACTGGAGGTCGGTTGGAATAGGCGACTATGTTAAAATTGCCGTTCGGTCACTTGACCGAAGACCGATGGATTTCCATAACGTCTTAGTTGCCGTTCTGAAGAAAGTAGACGAAGTTTATCAACTCGATACTAATGAAGGAGTTCTCAAAGGATTATACTGTCGCAATCAGTTTGAGCCATGTTTAAAAATTTTATCGCTACCAAAGATGTCCCAACAAAAATAAATTCAGTCTAGCACTACAAGTACTGCACAGTCATAGTGTGGGGGCCACGGCTACGTGAAGTGCAGCTGCGTCTCATATCAGAAGAGGCTACAGTTCAAGATATTCGGATAAGTGTTTTGCTGAACTTCCGTATGCAGCTGGTACTGTCCTGGTGGGCAACAACAGAATCGAACTTAAAAACTGACAGCAACTGTATGCAATGCAGTTGTGAAAGCGGGTCTCTTTCTTAACGCCCAGAAGTCCAAACGTTATGAGAAACCCAAACGGCACAACATATCCGCAAGGGCAGGTAAGGCGGAATACTCTTAACTACCATAACCCCCAGGCGATTGTACCAGCAAAGTAGTATTTAGGCATGAAAACTGCCCGTGCTTCAGGTAGCTTGTTCAATAATTTGCCTGATCAAAATATGCCATTTCAAGAAAGCACACTGGTACTTTACAGCAAGAAACGGTAGATCAAGAACAACAGTAATGCAACTTCCAACAGCACTATGCAGAGATTAGAAAAAGAAAGCTGGTTCATTTGTGCAATGTGGCTGATGACAGGTTCTTCACTTTAATCCGCGAACTTATGACGTGGCATTTGAAAAATGGCACACGTCATCCAGTTAGGGGGTATACAACA